GCCTCCACCTCCAGGTTCAAGCGATTCTCCCACCTCAGCCTTCGGAGTGACTGGGATTGCAGGTGCTTGCCACCACACCCAGCTAATTTTGTATTTTTCATAGAGATGAGGTTTTGCCATGTTGAGGTCTTGAATTCCTGACCTCGGGTGATCCACCCACCTTAGCCTCCCAAAGTGTTGGGAATACAGGCGTGAGCCACCACACCCAGCTGCTCAGTCATGTTCTTGACTGTAATCACGTGGACATTTTGTCATTTACAGATGGTTTTTGTCTGTTTTAATCCTCTTCAAAAAATGGTTTGCAATGAGCTGTAGGACTTCAACAGGTGCTCTCAAATGCAGGCTTCTGATAACAGAAATACTACAGAACTCATGAGAAGCTAAAATGTTTGTCAATAACAACCAGGACTATAGTTAACAGAATATACTAAGCTAATAGAAAACTGAAACAGGCTGGGCTCAGTGGCTCACGCCTGTGATCCCAGCACTTTGGGAGGCTGAGACAGGCAGATTGCCTGAACTCAGGAGTTTGAGACCAGCCTGGGCAACATGGTGAAACCCTGTCTCTACTAAAAATACAAAAACTTAGCAGGACATAGTGGCAGGTGTGTGTAATCCCAGCTACTTGGGAAGCTAAGGCAGAGGAATCACTTGAACACAGGAGATGGAGGTTGCAGTGAGACGAGGTTGTGCTATTGCACTCCAGCCTGGGTAACAGAGCAAAACTCTGTCTCAGTCAATCCATCAATCAATAAAATAAGCCCTTTGGGAAAAATGGCCTCTTACCTTGTCTACATAGTCCCCGTATAGGGCTAATAACCTGCAGTGAGTAAAGAATGTCACTCTCTAACAGGCCCAGGAACCCCACATTCTTGGAACCTCAAGAAGAGAGTAGTTTACCCAACTCATAGGTATTTGAGGGTACAAACCCATGGCTGGGTTTAGCTTGAGAATGTCCCATCTGAGGCTGGGTGCAGTGGGTTATCCCAGCACTTTGGGAGGCTGAGGCAAGAGGATCACTTTTGGTCAAGAGTTTGAGACCCACCTGGTCAACATGGTGAATCCCTGTCTCTACTAAAAATACAAAAATTAACAGGGTGTGGTGGCTCATGCCTGTAATCCCAGCCACTCAGGAGGCTGAGGCAGGAGAATTGCTTGAACCTGGGAGTCAGAGGTTGCGGTGAGCCAAGATTACACCACTGCACTATATAGCCTGGGCAACAGAGTGAGATTTTGTACAAAAAAAAAAAAAAGTCCTATCTGAAATTCCTTGTGGAACAGAGTTCCATCAAAGCCAATCAAAAAGGCCCATGTTGGCCAGGTGTGGTGGCTCATGCCTGTAAGGCCAGCACTTTGGGAGGCTGAGGCTGGTGGATCACCTGGGGTCAGGAGTTTGAGACCAGCCTGGCCAACATGGTGAAACCCTGGTTTCTACTAAAAATACAAAAATTAGCATGGCATGGGTGGCATGTGCCTATAGTCCCAGCTGCCTGAGAGGTTGAGGCAGGAGAATTGCCTGAACCTGGGAGGCAGAGGTTGCAGTGAGCTGAGATTGCGCCACTACAGTCCAGCCTGAGCTACAGGGTAAGACTCTT